AAGTAACGAAGTAATATATATATATATATATATATATATATATATATATATCTTGTAGACGTTGAGATTCTAATTTTTTTTTTTTTTTCGATTCAAATACGATCGAATTTATCGTTGTTCGTTGATGATCTTTTTGGCAACGAAAGGTAACGTTTGATTGATTTTCCAAGGTAATTTTTTTTTTTTCTTCAAGAAGACGAGGCTCGCTACAATAAAAAAGTTATCCTATTACGTAGTTGCAGATGAAACGGCTAAATTCTCAATAAAACTTTCAACGTCCAAAGTTTTATTAAAAAAACAATATTAATCAAAGTACGATCCATCAAACTTGATGCAACTCGAACCCGTGGCAAAGACACAACTTATAATTACGTATATATATATTTATATAAAATAAAAAAAGAGACATTAATCGATCGAGCTCGATATATTTTCGTTTCACGAACGAATTCTTCGTAACTCTCTGTCGATCATCGACTGCAAACAGTTCGGTTGCCGAAAAGGTCGCGAAAAAGGAAAAAAAAAAAAAAAAAGCTTCGTTCAAAGTTCACGCGTGTCGCCACGAGAGCACAAAAGAAACGAATCCATCGGTGTAGGAGAGACGCGGAAAGTCCATATACACCCTCTATTTTCCTACGTATCCGGCAATTGTTTCGTCGGTTACAAAAAAAAAAAAAAGAAAAAGGAAAAAAAAGACGTTGACGCCGACGTATTTCCCCGACAGAAAGGCAGAAATTCGGGCGACACGTGTGCGACGAAAAGAGGGGAGGGGAGGAGAGACGCGAACGAATATACGTATTGCTCGTTACAACGCTTTAATCCAATAGCGGGAATACCGGAGGAGGAGGAGAAGTTTAGGACCCGTGGACTATTTGCCCTTAAAAGAGAGGCTGACGTGGCGCGGTAATATGCAGATCGCTTAATTATCACCGCGAATTATGCAAATCTTGACACCGGCGTTACGAGATTTCATCCAGGCGGGGGGGAGTTTGAACCATCGAGCGGCTCAAAGGGCGGGGTTTGCCGTTTCATTAGGACGATTCTAGATTTATTAGCCCCCGCGGAGAGAAGCGTGGGTGAATCGGCGGCCCCTCCCCAACTCGCGTTAAAATTTTACCTCGCCCCATTTGTTTTTATCGCGTAAACTTGCCAACCTGCCTCATCAACCCGCCTTGTCTGAATATTCCTCGTCAAAGATTCACGCTTCGTTTCATATTCTCTCTTTATTGAACGGAAAATGTTTTCGAGGCTGGTTCGAATAATACGTTTATTGTAATAGCGGTATTTCGGTTAAAAAAAGAAAAAAAGAGAAGTTTCGTCGTCATCGTCATACGTTCCGGGGAAAGAAATGGGATTTTATTTGGCGAAAAACGTGTATATTCTCGACGAGTGGATCCAATGGTTATACCTGGAACGTTCTCGTTTAACAAGGACGCGGCTCGAGATTTTGCTCTTCCCTCCAAGTCCGCCCTTGGCTCGTTCTCCTCCTCGATATACCGAGAGTCCTTGGAATGTTCCCGGCGGATCCCTCGTATCTTCGAGGCCCCCCAACGCTATTCGCGCATCCCTCGATTTAACAGGCCTTAATCATCGCAAGGGCCGTAGCTGAACGTTTTCGTCCTGTGACCAGTTACCTCGAGCATCCCCGAGAATATATACCATCCTACCTACCCACTTAATCGTCCCACCTCTCCCTTATGCGATCCTATTGTTTTCCTCGAATCTCTACGGAATGGATACATTTGATCGCAAGTGTTCTCTTCGATATTGAAACGTTGGAATCGATAAGATTTTAAATTGAACGAAAATTATTGCTCTTGAGTTGCTCGATGAATTTGTTTTGTATTCAATTTTAATAATGATTCAATTCGTATTATTCAGTTATTACGTGTATTTGTCTTGCAATAATTATCCCACCGATAACACGCGTTACGTATTTAATTACAGATTTTAAACTCGATAAGATACGTACGTATTGCGCGTGGAATGTGAAAAAAATCGCATCTGCGTGGGAAGAGAGAGAGAGAGAGAGAGAGAGAGACTAACGATTGCGCCACGTTGCGAGAAACTAAGCTGAACACGGTTCAAATCAAATTATATTCCCTCGCTGTGTTAGAGTATCGTTTATTTTCTCTGTCTCTCCTATTGAAAGAAGTAGGATTACCGAATTATATTCAATCATTGTCTGTGTTTCTTTGTTTCCGTAATATCACCGAATAACCGATAAAATTATTGATAGTGAATAACGCTTAGATTTATAAAATCGAAAAAAAAACATTCTTGTCCGGAAACAATTTTACACAATTTTACGATCCAGAGAAATTTTAGAAATATCACCGAGTCGAACGGGCGTTACTTTTAAACGAAAACGAAAACATTTAACGAGATCTGATGTTATATATTTCAGAGAGATCTCGAATATCTCTGTTTACGCAGTTTTGGCATCTCTCTTTGCGCAGAATTTATTATCGTTACATCAACGAAATTGGTATTCCGGAAATAAAACTTGCCACAATCAGAAACGGTGAATGGATATTTCTACTACGAATCGGTGGAAACGGTGGATATTTTTATCCATCGGGCAAGAATTACGTAACGTAGGGGAAACGCGCGTTTGCATAATAACGCGTGTTCGAAAGTAGAATGATTTACCGAATGATGAGAAAGTTTGTACAAAAAAATTGTAATAACTCTTCTTTAAATTAGCAAAAGTAATTACCGACCATGGATCATTTTACTAAAAATGTATCGTATCGGCTTGAGCAAGTTTATCCTAACGGTAAGCAATTACGACAGATTCTAACTCATTAAAACTTTACTGAAGCTTTGTTAAAAGAAATTGAGTTAAAGGGAAAAAATTTTTCTATACAGCTTTTAATTAGCGGTCGAGTAAAAAGTACACGTTGTAATTACCTGCATTTCTTAATCATTAAAAAAATTGTAATTCCTTCTTTACTTTCTTCTACGCGTTCGAGAAAAGGACACACGTGCGTATATTAATTTTCAAACACCGATTCTTAATCGTTCGTTCAAACGCTTTTTTAATCGCGTCTCGAAAAAAAATCGCTATCCGTATATCCAACGTATATCTATCTATTGGGGCCGGGCCACACGAGATAATATTTCTTTTCGCCGAACAACTTCTGAACCCAACTATTGCGGTTAATATTTCGCAGTGTCAATACTGCAGTTTCCCCCTTCCTCCCCCCCCCCTCCCCTCCCCCCGAGCGGAAAAAAAACCCGCTACTTTATACGACTGAAGTTCTGTAAACATTTTTCACTTCGGATTCAGTAACCGTGTAATATGATTTACGTTGCTCGAATAGACGACGCGTTCGCGCACTCGTTCAACTTCAACGGCCAATATTTTTACCGTATCCCCCCCGATCCGCTTTTTCTTTCTTCTTCTTTAAGCGTTATAAGTTTCCATCAAACAGCCAGCGCGAAAATATTATATTTCCAACTCGGCCCCTCGATCATCCTGTTCATCCGTGAACCTATCGAATTTCGAGTAGCCGATTCTTTCTCTTCTATCATCATCATCATCATCATCATTATTATTATTAATTCAACGATTATCGATTTAAGAAAGGATCTTCCAAAAACGAAAAAGAGAAAAACTTACAATTTCGAGAGAGAATCGATAGCTCGATCGAATCGAGCCGGACTCTATACATTTC